AATCGAGAAGAGAAAACTACAAATCATGTGTTTCATAAGGGACTTGGTTCTGTGAAGTAAATAATAAAAAAGACGACTCAGCTGGAAAAGGAAAAAGGATGGGGAGGAACAGTTCTGAAAGAAGATGGACACGTGGTGAAAACACAGGCAAAGGTACAGCGTGTGTGCAACTGTCAGCGAGCTCTAACACAGCAAGAGCACGTATCTAGTCCTCATGTATTAAAGAGGCCACCATGCTTCACATTTGATGTTTGCATAGGAACTCCTGGTGCAGATTCTCTTACCCGCTAATAGAAGAGCGGTATAAAGGTAGGGAAGACAAACACCTTGGTGAAGTAACCGAATGTGAATCTAAGCACTGCTTCCCTCTAGGGAAGCTTTATCTTTTGCAGCAGGGTTTATGTGTTTTGCTCACTATGCCAAAGCAGTTTTCCCTTCAACACTTTGCCTATGATGTCTACAGCCAGATCTGAGAAACCAGAGCACCTGTAGCATTTACCCACAAATCTCTTCAGAAAGGCTGTGCCTGACCCTTACAGTCCACAGTCCCTGAAGCTTCCCTGCACTAAAGTGTGGGCACTGTATCTAAAGCAGGCTAATATTGGTGCCTGCCCTGTGTCTTTAAAATTCCCTACGTGTTCTGGGAATGTAGGCTAATACCAGTGTTATGTCTTTTCTGACATGTAAAATGTATTTAACCAGTTAATTATGAAGTGTACACAAAATGGAGCAATATCATATATATAATTTATTTCATTGTATTTTTTGTGTGTGCATGTGTGTGTGTGTGTGTGTGTGTGTGTGTGTATGTGTATGTGAAAGTGTCCATGCAAGTACCCAAAGAGGCCAGAACAGCATCAAATCCTCTGAAGCCACAGTTAGAAGAGACTATGAAGTTATGAGCTGCCTGACGTGGGTCCCGGGAACTGAATCCAGGTCCTCTGGTAGAGCATAAGTTCTCTTAAACACAGAGCCATTGCTCCAGATACTGTCCATTAAGTTTTTGAGCAAATATCAGAATGCAGATTCATCAGTGCTCCGACAGTGTGTCCAGTGCCTGCAGTCTGCACTGCAGTCTGTTATCCTGTTCTCCAGCACTGCACCCAGTGCCTGCAGTCTGCACTGCAATCTCGCTATCCTGTTCTCCAGCACTGCACCCAGTGCCTGCAGTCTGCACTGCAATCTCGCTATCCTGTTTCCCAGCAGTGCACCCAGTGCCCGTGGTCTGCACTGCAATCTCTGCTATCCTGTTCTCCAGCACTGCACCCAGTGCCTGAAGTCTGCACTGCAATCTCTGCTATCCTGTTGCCTGGCATTTTGGAAACAAACTTCAGAGTCATGAGTACATTCCACATTTACTACGAATGCATTTCTTGTTTGATAGTAACCCAATAAAGTACAGTGCAAGAGTAAAGCAATTAACTGATTCCATCTACGAAAAGTAGAAGGCACACAAAACAGAGTATTAGGCTTTGACTTCATTGTTTTGTTTTTCTTATGTCAACAATATGGCTTTGTGGGAGGTGTAAGGAAAACACATGTAGGAGGCTGTATGGAGTAACTGCACATTCTGAATCTACTTCATATTTTCACTGTACCTGGCATAGTGGCATTTAGTACACTACACACAGGATTAAGGCTATATACATTTAATCATGTTTAAAGGGTAAAGTTGTTTATTTGTTTTGCTTTCTTAAGCTACAACTGTGAGGAAATCAGATATTTTACTATACGGAAAACCCAATCTTTAGAAGGAGGTGGTTGGTCTACCACTAATTTTTATCTTCTTACTTCAATGAGTAGTTCTCAACAGAAAGACACTGATGGACATATCAAATTGCAAGAATCCTGTGTTTTCCAAATGGATTTCTGTTTACACAGACTGATGGGCCACACTATCAAAGGACAGTAACACAGTTCTTTAGCCTGATGTGGGCAGTGTCCACACTCAGAAGAGAAAGGCCTCCTTTCCTAAGAAGAATGGCTGACTCTAAGGTTCAGTTAAGAAATTGATCAGTCGCTTAGCACTCTTAAGCATTTGTGTCAAATGGAAGTGGGCAGAAATCTAATGGTATAATGGGTGGTTTTAGCCAGAGCAATGTCAAAGAAGGCAGACTGCCAACAAGAAGCCTAACTGTCTTCTTCCCCTCCTGTTTAAAAAAAAAAGTATTTTATTTTTAAATTTTAGATGTCTGGCCTGCATGTATATCTGGGTACCGTGTGTGCATGGTGCCCACAGAGGCTGGAAGAGGCCCTGGAACTCTGGAACTGCTGTTGCAGGCAGTTGGAAGCTAAGTTTGTGGATGACAGGAAGCAAACCTGCAGGGCGGCCAGTGCTCCTCCCCAAACATCTCTCCAGCCTCTCTGTGGCTTTCAGAGGGAGGTTATTTGGGTGACTCTCTAATACTGTCGTTTCTGTTCATCTCCTGGCATGTCCTTCTCATCAGTCATCCTCTCACTTCAGAAGCAGTAGGACGGAAGGCGAGGGGGCAGCTGAGTGCAGACCTTCCCTAGGAGACGACCTAACTTAGAGTGCAGACCTTCCCTAGGAGAAGACCTAACTTAGAGTGCAGACCTTCCCTAAGAGATGACCTAACTTAGAGTGCAGACCTTCCCTAGGAGAAGACCTAACTTAGAGTGCAGACCTTCCCTAGGAGAAGACCTAACTTAGAGTGCAGACCTTCCCTAAGAGACAACCTAACTTAGAGGAGTGCAGACCTTCCCTAGGAGAAGACCTAACTTAGAGTGCAGACCTTCCCTAGGAGACGACCTAACTTAGAGTGCAGACCTTCCCTAGGAGACGACCTAACGTAGAGTGGAGACCTTCCCTAAGAGAAGACCTAACTTAGAGTGCAGACCTTCCCTAAGAGAAGACCTAACTTAGAGTGCAGACCTTCCCTAAGAGAAGACCTAACTTAGAGTGCAGACCTTCCCTAGGAGACAGACGACTTAACTTAGAGTGCAGACCTTCCCTAAGAGAAGACCTAACTTAGAGTGCAGACCTTCCCTAAGAGCAGACCTAACTTAGAGTGCGGACCTTCCCTAAGAGAAGACCTAACTTAGAGTGCAGACCTTCCCTAGGAGACGACCTAACTTAGAGTGCAGACCTTCCCTAGGAGACGACCTAACTTAGAGTGCAGACCTTCCCTAGGAGACGACCTAACGTAGAGTGCAGATCTTCCCTAAGAGAAGACCTAACTTAGAGTGCAGACCTTCCCTAGGAGAAGACCTAACTTAGAGTGCAGACCTTCCCTAGGAGAAGACCTAACTTAGAGTGCAGACCTTCCCTAAGAGATGACCTAAGTTTGGGAGAGACCCGGGCTACTCCAGGTGCGTTGCTGTTACTACAGATGACTTCACGTTTTTGTGACCACAAGAATCTCACTTGTAAAATTCTCACTAGTATCAGTACATGGTGATCCTATCCAGGGTGGCGGCATGTGAGTTTTAACTTCTGTCTGGAAGGGGACTTTACACTCCACTCTCCACATGTCCTTCCCATGGTCCAAAAGAATCCCAGAGCTTCCTTAATTTTTCTTGTGAGAATCTCTCTAGATTCTCTGTAGCTAGGCTTTCTTTTCCTCGTTTCTGGGATGAACATGTTTGACATGTTCCCTGAAATCTCCCAGAGGTCCCCAGCAGGCCTGACTGCCAATTACCCAGAGGTTAACTCATTAACACACATCTATACTTCATCTTCAAGCTTTTCTGTTCTGTTTTTCCATCATGCTTCATTGACCTCTTCCAAAATAAATAATTATTTGCATCTAAAATGTCCCATAATGTGTCTTAAATTACTATTATTTGGGGGAAAGCAATTAAAACTGAGTCAGCAGCCGAGGAGTTACCTTATTCTATGTAAGTGGGCAGAGAGGTTGATCTTATCAAAACAGAGGGTAGGCCTACACAGTTCCCAAGGCATGCTTTCCTAGATTAAGTGTAAATCTGAATCAAAGGCATTATTGGGGAAACAAGCATATTCTAAAGTTGATTCTTGGTGATGGCTAAATGAATACAAAACTAAAACTTATTTAATCACATATTTTAAAACATGAATTTTATGATACTTAAATACATCTTAATAATGTTGTTGAAAATTACTTTATTTTACATGGAAAATCTTAAGATTCAGAGAGGAAAAGTTCCAATGCTACATAGCAAATAAGAGTTGGGTAAAAAGCAGAACTTAGGCCAAAATAACTCTGAGAAATTACATTCTTCCATGGACTAACACTCTTGTTTTTGACTCATAGAAAGTTGAAGGATATCAGTTAAATAAAATGCCAGCTCAGAATATGCTTATATTTAAAAAAAAGTTGCCATGTGCTGTCAAGTTCGTGGAAAACACACTCTGACAACAAAGAGGCCCTGCCTTGTGCCAGACTCAGCACTCAGGTCAAATGTTCTCTAAAAGCCCCTGTCCTGGGGCAGGCTGGCCCCTCAGTCTATGACAGAGGGAAAAACAGCAAGTAGATAGAGACATTAAAATGTGCCCCTGAGAATAGCTAGAAGATCAACCATTTCTGGCAGAGGTTGCTATTATAAAAAGCACCTAGAGTGGGAATAGCAAGCCAGGTGCCCACCCAGAGAGAGCCCTGTCTGCTCTGCACAGGGCCTTTGGTGGGGAGGTGGGAAGTGCCATTAGGCTGCTCAACGGGTCTTCCTTAGTGCAATTCTGCTGGATGCTGGAAGCCACAGTGCCATGGTGAGTTCTGCTTCTTTTCCCACTGTGGTTACTTCACTCTGCTGAGTGTTGTGAGGGTCTGAGTGACTACATTTTGCTGTCTGTCTCCTGCTTTCTCTGTCTGCCACTTCTGTCTTGGACAATGGGTCAAAGGGTATGTGTTACTGCTCCCCTACTTGCACACAGGGAAATGGAGCTTTCTGACAAGTTAAATGATAGTTAAGTCCCAAGGCCCCCTTCTCTCCAGGGGCACAGCTGGTTATTACATCACACTGCTTCTGATGTAAGCAGAGTTCTGACCTCCTCCCCTCCATACCTCACTGTTGAGTTTGTTTATCTGCTGCTTGGTTTCTTCAGCCTTGATGAACAAAACACCATTTCCGATCTCTGGGTCTGAAAAGCGACACACACACACAACAAAGTCAGCCCTTTAGGAACACTGTGTGTTCAAGCTTTGGGGGTGGGGGCTGCAGTGTAGAAAGAAGGATGTCACCTCAAACGTCCCTGCTGCTGAGCTCATGGGGTTTTTCCCCCAGGACTAGACAAGTCTCCTTTCCTTCTTGGGCAGCTCCTGCTGTACTCTCAGGAGGCCATCTCACAGCACAGGGGTTGGTGACCACACTGACTGTGTGTCCCCATGGTCATCAGCATGTCTCAGCACTGTAGCTCTTGTCTTGTCATTCTCCCCAGCACTCCCAATGCCACACACACTGTCCATGCTTCCTTTTTCCATTGGAAAAGGAATTTGCTGCGTCCACGAACACTTCATTCCACTCTGTTTCAGGGGCCAGTCTCCTTTGCATGTTTCACACTTTTACTGTGTCACTCCACTGCTCTTATTTTTGAGTTCTCTTCTCTAGTTTCTCCCTACTCTGTCCAGGAGAAGAAGCATAAATACATCAGGACTTTGGAAAGGAAAAGATTTGACAATGTGACAGAATTAGAACACTTGTTCGTGGAAGAAGAAAAATCACTCAAAACAGATCAAAGGAGTCCTAAGAGCCTGTTTTACAGAGATGTCTTGCAGTCACTCAACAAACCATTCCCATCGTATGCAGTAGGTCAATGCCCTTTTATAGGAGATGGCAATTAATACAGAACCCAGCAAAGGGGAGAGACACTTGAAGGCAATTAGGCAGTGGGTCTGGGGTTCACACTAAAGACTGTATGAAACACTCTTGGGTTTTCAGTACTGAAGTTGAGCCATACAAATCCATGCATACTTTAAAAATGTTCTCTTTGCATTAAAAACCAGTGAGAAGTCAGGGAAGAAATCTGGAGGCAATGCAGGCAAGGTGTAAGTGTAGCCACAGGAGGAGGACAGGCCTAGGAAGACCTGAAAGTCAGGTAAAAGGTGAAATAAAGAAACGTTGTTGCTTACATATTTGAGTGTAGGGCTTTACAGTGGGTCAAGAGAAAGGTGGGTGGACAGGCCCAGCATCTGTGCACTGGCTCCAGGAGACCACAAGACAAACCTTGATTCTGGGCCTCACTATTGGCTTTTGTGGCAAACACAGCAGTGTGATGGAGCTATTATTTCCTTGACAATTGCTCCAAAGTAAAATCAGCATACATGATTTAGTCAAGTTAGTGAATTAAAATTCTACTCCTTTCCAGTTTGCATCCAGTCTTATGTGGACTCTCTGTTTTCCCAGTAGGCAGTGAGTGCTAGGAAGGATTGTTAATTGCCAATAAAATCCTGAGTTTACTAAACAGTGGAGCCTCATCTCCGTTGTTGAAATTGTCCATTCAATGGTCTTTCTTGGTTTCCAGTTATCAGGGGAATGGAACATAAGGATCCTAGCATTTGGTCAGAAGAGGAATGACATGGCCTAGGAGTGCTTGTCTGGTCTTGCTTACCAATTTTCTTCATTTTTTTAAATCTACAAGCATTTAACAACTGACCAGTGTCCAATATTTATCAAATGAAGCTATGTTTTTCTTAGAGTGTACTTTTCATTTCTGATCTTGATCAGGTCTTTTTGTAGGTGAGGGAGTTGGAGAGGGAGAGGGATTGAACTGGGCTTGAGGTGGAGGTATCTTTGGACTAATCACCATCCTTACAGGTTGGTGTCTCACATTCAAATGCTTTGCATCATTCCAAATTGTTTATTCTGACAGTCTGTAAGTATATAGCCTCTTACCAAATAAATGATTAAGGACTACCATTATTTTCAGAGAACACAGGCAACGTGGGCTCTGGGTGTCTAATAGGGACACTCTGTGTTGAACAACAGAAACTGCATACTCCGTTTGCCAGAGATGGCCAGGGGCAGGGTATGCAGGCCTGATTAGAGAACAACTATAGACCTTAGTGTCCAGAAGTGGCACAGACTAAAGTCAAATCGATAAGTGCCATGAAGAACCCTGTGAGTTCAGAAGGCAATGGTGCCAAACACCACACTGTAGAGAGAACAGCATTCTTTTTGTTTGTTTGATTTTTTTTTACTATAAATTTTATTTGAATTAGAAACAATCTTATTTTACATATCAATCCAAGTTCCCTCTCCCTTCCATCCACCTATGGCCCCCACAGCTCCCCCATCTCATCCCCCATCCACTCCCCAGGGAGGGTGAGGCCTTCCATGAGGGATCATCAAAATCTGGCAATTCATCTGGGGCAGAGCCTAGGCCCTCCCCCACATATCTAGACTAAGAGAGAATCCACCCATGGGGAATGGGCTCCAGAAGTCCGGAGAACAGCATTCTTAAAGATAACTATCAGGTGCTTACCTCCAAGGGGAGGGGAAATTCTGGGCTCTGGCCTGATTTGTTCAGAGCCAAAGTCAAAAGTCTGAGTTTCCTCACTGCTGTTGCCATCTTCAATTCCATCGACAATCCTGCAGCAAGTACAAGGAATTAGTTGGCTATGCATTTACACTTATGAATTCCAGAATTTATATAAGACCTCTAAGATATGTTGTGTTTAATTTCTAAATTCTTGGTGCTATAAAGTTATTCCAGCCACATAGTAACCACTTGGTGGGGGGACTGCCTATGAGTTCTGTGTGTGTAACATGCATTTCAGAGTTTGAAAACAGGTTTAAAAAAGAAGCATAAGCCATTTAAAGATTTCTGTATTTTTCACAATTGAAATTATAATATTTGGTATTGCATAAAGTATACTACCAAAGTTAATAGCATTTAGAGTTTACTCACTTTAAAATGTGGCAACTAGAAACTTTAAATCTATATATATGGCTTACATTTTAGCTTATATTTTATTTTTGTTGGATGTTGATGCGATGAGAAATTAGACTTATTTATTTTCAGGTTTAAAACTCAGGTTAAGATTTACATATACAAACACACACGAACGCACAATTTTATCTCCATTTAAGAAAAAACATTTTAACTTAACGACTGAAACATAACAGAAGACAAGTTCAATGATACCTCTAGACAAAGCCTTAAAGCTACCTATTTGAATGTGAAAGAATTTTATTTGCTGTTGTTATTCTGGGACCTGCCAGGCAAGTGAATCCTACCTAGCTCTAGCCCCAGCCAGAGTGTTTAAGTCACTGACAGCAGTTGAGTCTTCTTTGGTAAATGGTGTCTAATTTGTTCACTGCTGAATACAAATAAGTATATTGTATAAAATGTATACAGACAGATAACAAAATTCAAAATGAAAGTCCCCAGTAATTACTGAAGCTATAAATATTTTGACAAGTGCTCTTGAAGTGCTCTCTATGTAAAAGAACTTACACTCATTGGACAAGTGTATGAGCCTAGTATCCCTGTCTTCCATCTCTGAGACTTTTCTAGCTAAATGTTATCATGCTTTCATCCCACTCACCCTAATGCACAATACACAGATACTGTGTTTTTTCTGCAAGTGGAAAAAGAACTTGTACATTAGAGCCATAATTTGGTTTACAAGTCAAGAAAGAATTTGAATCCAGGTTCCAGTCCTTACAATTGCTGCTTTCATTGACAGAATAGTTAAGTCTTCATTTATACAACATTATAGTAAGAAATAACACAAACTACTCCTCAGGACTCCAGGAAGACTACAAAAACAAATGGAAAATCACCTCACAAGGTATATGGAACCTAGAAAATATTCAGGGTTTTTTCCTAATGCAGTTGTTTAGCTGTTTGGGGACACTGAAGTTTCTTACTGCCTCAGAGCATGGGTTTTCTACCATCTCAACCTCCTTTAGTTGGTTCTGCAGTGACTTTATTTTCAGTGCAAAGACAACTAGTTTTACTAAGAAGAACAGAAATGAAACTAGTTTCAGTTATCCACAGTAACAAGCAGAATATTGCGACAAGGACAACAGCCCACAATCATTCATCATTTCACCCTGTTGTTGCACAAGATTTGGGGGTTAAAAGGTAACACTGATGGATCTTGCTCTCTTCCATCTCTATTGCGAATTCAATTATAAACTGCATCATAATATGTGAGATAAATTAGTACAAAAGCAGAAGTGATGGACATGTACTGCAAACCATTTACTTTATTATGAGTGCAATCTTCATAGTACTCTCTCTCTCTCTCTCTCTCTCTCTCTCACACACACACACACACACACACACAATCTGAGTATATATATAGTTCAAAAACTCACACGTGGATCCGGAAAACTGAAGAATGGAGGTTGTGACTTCATAGAACAGAAGGGCTCAGAAGGCTGAATAATTTATGAGGTGTGTGCCAGTCTGTGTAGGAGCACATGCAGAAGTGTAGGCACTCACCTGGGAGACTGCTGGACCGAGGAACTCTTACCTTGGACTGAGCTCTGGGGTTCCAGCGCTATTCAGACTGCCAAGCTGCACTTTCAGGTTCCTTTCTTTCCGTCTGCCATGGTTAGGTGGGTCAGCCTCCTGCTTGTTTTTAGGGGAGTTGGCAGTGGAGACTCTAATCGGGGAGTGGAATGGTACTGTCCCTGAGGCTAGTTGCTTTAAGCTTAAACCTAGATAGCTCTTATTGCTTCCAATCTTTTTGTTGAGTGAAACAGAGGATCTCTTTGTGTAGATAGGAGAAAGGGAGGTGGTCTCCTCTTCCTCTACCTCTTCCTCCTCCTCCTCATCTTCCACAATGGATGGGAGTCTCTTGTTGATGCTTCCATTCCCCTTGGGCTCTGCCTAGATCAGTGGATAATATAGATTAGTACAGATTGCTACAAGGCATATCATTCATGCCAGAGGTCCTACTGAAAAAGATCCAATTCCTTAGAGATTAGCAAACCTTTTCATTGTGTGTTCTTATTTTCCAAGTTTAAAAAGGCTCCCCAGTTTTCATGCCCAGGTTTACTTCTCTACCTTCCTGGTTTTAACTCCCAATCATTCTCTGGGACTTTAAAAATATTTGGGTGGTGATTTTACTCAGCTACTCACTCATAATCATAATAGATGGCACTCTCTTAGGAATGTGGACATTTTAATTTGATCACAGGGTTGTAGGATTTAAAACTGCAATGTTGTTTGGAGGAACTCAACTTGAGGATCAGCTTTAGCTTCATGTTTGAGGACATGAGTCTGTCCTATCTGTTTTGCCCACATGAAGCATTTTTAGTTTCCTTGCCTTTAGCCCCTCCTTGTTCTTACAAGTCACTAACAAGATACAAAGCAAATTCCTGCTCCTTTGAAGAACCATGAGATATGTAGGAAGACAAATTTTCCAGAATCCATCCCAGGATTACCATGCTCTTAGCCAGAGAATCCAATCTCCTAAGTCAAGGAAGAGACAGTAGGAGAGAAAATAACTGATGAGACAGCATAGCAGCAGAGCAGGGGGTGGGAGAGACAAGGTCAACCCCTCTGAACTATTGCAATGATTCTTGCGTAGACCCAGACATGATCTCTGGGCATGTTCACTAGTCAGTTTATTTCCAGAAAATGAATTCATTTTTCTTGGCTTTAGTTTCCTTTCTAGACGAAGTTGCATATACATATTTGACAATAGTTGCTGATGAAAATAATAGTAAACACTGAAAACACCTAAGATTATTACTTAAGTTTCATGAACTGTCATGGTGATTATGCCAAGAAGTACTTGGTTCATTGGTATGTTTGGATGTGTGATATCTATAATAGCCATCATGAAACAACAAAAATACTGTGGTGGTTCCAAAGCCCTAGCTCATTTATTTTAGGCATTAGCCACTAAGTGAAATAAAGTATTGTTTACTCATTTTTTGTTAATCTTAATACCTCAAGATTTCTGAATAAAATAGTGTTCCTACTGACATATTCTTTCTAGCTACATATCAGTATTTTAATCATCTGTGAAGCTATGAATTCTTTATTGAAAAGTCATGGTGCTGTTTTTTCTTGTTTATTTTGTTTTCAGTAGCAGTTAAAACTTAGTGCTTTAACAAAAATTGGACCCTCATGGAATTGTACAAGATCATTGTGTACTTTTATTGTAGAACAGAAAAATTAACTTGCCCTGCTAAAGACACAACAGGGCATCAGGGTAGATGCTGGTTATTCATTTACACACAGCTATCCTGCTTTCTTAATTAATAAGATTGTTAGCAGTCGCTGTGACTTGATGGGGGAGGTCCTTCTGTATATACATTTCCCTTATTGGTTGATGAATAAAACAGTGATTGGCCAATAGTCAGGCAGGAAGTATTGATGGGACTACCATATGAGGAGAATTCTGGGGAGAGGAAGGCAGGGAGAAGCCACATGTAGATACCCGGAGATAGGATGAGCCAGGCATTCTCTGGTAAGATAAGGCCATGTAGAAATGCATAGATTAATAGTTATGTGTTAATAATTAAAAGAGAGCTAGCTAGTAAGAAGCCCAAGCCATCGGCCAAACAGTTTATAATTACTTCAAGTCTCTGTGCGTTTATTTGGGGCTAATCATGTGTGGGACCAGGTGGAACAGAAACTGTCTAGAAGGACTATTGGCAATGAACTGTCCTAGGTAGCTTTAATTATCAACTTGATACGTCCTGGAGCCATCAGAGCAAAGTATCTAAATCAGAAGTGCAAATCAGACTGTGTCTGTGCAGATCTCAGTGTTAAGGTTGCTTCCCATTGTTACCAGCACCGGCGGGGAAACACATACACTTCAATCCTTAGTCACTCCAGGCAGTGAGCATTGGGAAGATGGGAGACTATGTTGAGTGTGATGAACTAGAGTGCAGAAGGGAAACCTTTAAAGCAACAACAGCTAAAATGGAGAGTCAGCAAGTTCCTGGGATCCTTCTCAGCACTGGGGCTGAAGACACATGCCACCATGCTTGGTTTTGATGAGGGTTCGGGGGATCTCCTCATGCTATACAAGTGCTTTACCCATTGAACCATGTCCACAGTCCTTCAGATCAAGATTTCAAAATTGCACTAGTGTAAATGGCCAGTGACTGTTGTCCTCCTCAAATACAAAAGAGCTGATAGGTCTAGTCTAGACTCTATAGAGAAAAGTCAGCAACACAAAGGGAAAAGTAAGAAAAACAGACGGGACAGTCAGGAACATGGAAGAAGAAGAAGTTAGCAACATGGAAAAGAAACTGAAAAAATTAAAATGTAAGAAATAGAAAACTTAATGAAATAAAAAACACAGTAGCAATCGTCATTGACAGCTTTGGACTAAACAGAAGAGAGACTATCAGGGTTGGAACACAAGATGGAGGAAATACTATAATTAAACATCAACTAAGGAGAAAAATAAATGAACATGACCACAATATCAAAGAATTCTGAATATGATCATAAGTTCAAATTTAAGAATCTACAGTATATAATAATAAATAGGGATAAAACTGAAGTTCTAGAGAATCCATACAATGTAATGATAGCAGAAATTTCCCTATCCTAGAAAAGGAAATAGACACCAGAATGTGTGTTAAGTACCTCAAATGAACATGGCCAGAAAAGAACTTCTCTATAACATAATAGAGTCAAGATGTCAGAAACACAAAGCAAGAAGCACTATTTAGGTGTAAATTCCAACTCACCTTACGAAAACAAAAACACTAGAACAACATCCAATCTTTCATCTGAAACCATAAAAGCCATGAGAGAGGAAATGACATGTATCAAGTCACTACATAACTGTTAGTCAAGATTGTTATACATGGAAAAGCTGTCTTTTAAAATTGATGGCAAAATAAGAATATTTTAAGACTAGCAAAAACTAAGGTGCTCCATGAGAACAATGCCAACATTACAGAAGATACTTAAAGAAAGAGGAAAGTCTCATGGGAGCACAGGAATGAAAACATTTACAGGAAGAGAGGGGAAAAAAGAAAGCCAAGAAGGAATCCATAATGTCCAAAATGTAAATCAGAAAATCCCTAAAACTAATCGGGAAGAAAGAAAACACACTATGATCTAACCAATCAAGTAAACACCCAATAAAATCAGAGTAATTGATAAATATCTCCCAGTAATAATCTTAAATATAAATAGCCTCAATTCACCCACAGACAAGAATTAGATTGATTTACTAGATTAACAAGTTATTTCCTGCTATCTTTTGTTTACACAAAACATACCTCATTGGCAAAGACATCCATAGGCAGACAGTGACTACAGGAAGAAAGTCAATATACTAAGGGAATGGTAGGCCAAATCAAGCTGTCTTGACTATTCTGACATCTAATAAAGTAGACTACAAGCCAAAAGTAGAAGAAACAAAAAGGGCTAAGGCATATTAACAAAGATAACAAAAGACACAGCAATTATAAACATAAATGCATCAAAATTGGGACTCCTAACTTCATAAAGTGAATTTTAATGGGCATAAAATTCACATATGTTCTCATGTAACAGTAGTAGGTAACTACTATTATTCATGTACTTAGGATTTACAAGTTAAACTGAATTATTGTGGAATACTTTTTGTCTTATATCAATAGTTTATTTCTAAGTGTTTTCCATTGTACATAAATACTGATGTTCTTTTTTTCCCTTTTTTAAATTTTTCTTCCTTTTTTAATTTAAGTTAGAAACAAACTTGTTTCACATGTCAATCCCAGCTCCCTTTCCCTCCCCTTCTCCCCAATCCTTCCATCAGGCCCACCAGTCCCCTACCCAATCTCTACCCAGATGCCCAGGGAGGGTGAGGCCCTCCGTGGTGGATCTCCAGAGTCATTTCATCCAGGGCAGGGTCTAGGCCCTCCTTCAAGAGTCCAGGCTGAGACAGCATCCCTCATTGTGGGGTGGGCACTCAAAGTCTATTTGTACACCAGGGATAAATACTAACTAAGGCCCCATAGATTACCTAGGACTCCTCACTGACACCACATTCAGGGATTCTGGGTCAGTCCATGCTTTCCACACAGCCATCAATCTGGGGTCCAAGAACTCACCCTTGTTCAGGTCAACTGTTTCTGTGGGTTAAATCAGCCTAGTCTTAACTCCTTTGCTCATCAGTTCTCCCTTTCTGCCACTGGATTGCAGGAGTTCAGTTCAGTGTTTACCTGTGGGTATCTGCCACATCTGCTGGATGAAGGTTCTGTTTCTCAGACTCTCTGGCAGTGGGATTTTATGCTAGCACCCCCATGATACATGTCTAAAATGCATATATGAGAGAGTACACACCATGTTTTTCTCTTTGTGACTGGACTACCTTACTCAAGAGGGTTTCTTCTAGTGCCATCCATTTGCCTGAAAATTTCAAAATTCCATTTTTTTCTGTTGTATTCAGAACAGTACCACATTTTCTCTATCCGCTCTTTAGTTGAGGGGCATCTACGTTGCTTCCAGGTTCTGGCTATTACAAATAATGCTGCTATGAAGATAGTGGAACAGATATCCTTGTTGTATGAATATGCATCTTTTGGGCATAGGCCTAAGAGTGGAATTGCTGGGTCTTGTAGTAGACTGATTCCCATTTTCCTGAGGAATCTCCATACTGATTTCCAAAGTGACTGTACGAGTCGGCACTGCCACCAGCAGTGGAGGAGTTCCCCTTTTTCCACATCCTCTCCAGCATAAACTGTTGTTGGAGTTTTTGATTTTAGCCATTCTGACAGGAGTAAGATGGTATCTCAGAGTTGTTTTGATTTGCATTTCCCGGATGGCTAGCGATGTTGAACACTTTGTTAAGTGTCTCTCAGCTACTTTAGACTCCTCTACTGAGAATTCTCTATTTAATTCTGTACCCCACTCTTTGATTGGATCCT